ATAGGAACTGAACTAAATAAGATATGCAGACATAAATAAAATAAAAATCTAAAATAACTGTGTTTTGCCTAAAATCACATATATTTTGCCGACTTGAATAGACATTTGGCCTTTACAAGTATGAGGAAGATCGATTATGAAGGAGATGGAAAAATAAATGGTGTTTGAATCAGGTTAGGGAGGAAGTTTTAGGAATAGGGGGTGGGTAAGGAATTCCATAAGGCAGTGGCAGAACTAGAATTTTTGACGCCCCTTTTTCTACCTCTTGCTTTCCCGCAATAAAGCTCAATATTTTATTCCATTATTTTAGCTAATGTATGCAAATTAAGTATTATCATCAAATAATATTAACTCGTGTCACCGATTAAATTAAGCTAATACTTATTTTATTTATTGTGTTATTTACTTTAGGGGAAAAGGTTTTCCTCGAAACTTGCCGGCTTCTAAATTGTTCCTTGTTTACTTAGGCCGGAAAATGTTTTTCTGCCAGCCGGCTAAAGTTTACCTTTTGCCACTTCCTAGTTCCTCTTCTGCTAAAAGGACTTGGACGAACCGTAAAGGGAATATTCTATACGGTATGTTGGGATATTGCATTTACGTGGTAGATAGAAGAAAGTAGAGTTTAAGAATACAGGAAGGTTTTTTTTTTGTGCTTAAGGATTGGAATAAAAAAGCATTAACAATTTTTTATGAAAATTTAAGTTGAAATCATTCTTACTTGGAAAACAAGTCATAAATGTGTGAAGGTTTGGGGATACCAAAGGTGAATATTAATGAACGATTTTAATGAATATCTTATGAAGGGATCCATTAATCGATTTAATCTCTCCTCGTTCTCACCAGATAACTCTCCTAAGTATATTCAGTCAAAGTAGGAGAGGACACAAGAAGTTGATGGGTACTTCAGGGAAATGAATTACTGCGAGACTCCTTAATAGCTGTTTGAGAATTTGTTTAGATAATACCTCTAGATTTGATTCGAATATAATTCTTAAGTTTTTTATATAGTGATGAAACTGAATATAATTTTTGTGAAGGTATCGTGTAGATATTAATCGTTTTAAGAATTTATCAAATTTTCATGAGAAATTTGTTCCTTCCATTCATTGCTCTCATAAGATTCGGGGATCACTCCCCAAATTAAGTTGAAATAAATTAAAATGTCAATAGGAGGAAAGCTAAAATCGAAACATTGTAGACAACTTACAAGAAAGTTCTTTTCTCCCAACTCTTTCCAACTATATCTTACAACTAAACCTTCCCAAGATTTTTTATTGCTCACATTTTCTTAAGAACAATGCAATGAAAGTAGAATTAGAAAAAGTCGCAGATCATTTACAATTACACTTGCTGCGGTCTGTTCCATATTTTCCCTTTAATCCTAAGTTTGAAACTGTTCATTCTGAAAATTCATAATCCTGTCGAAATGTGCCGCCCCCTCCTCCAAAATTAAAAAATCCGTCAAAATATGCCTTCCTCAAAATTTTTGATAGCGCATCATGCGCCATGAAACCCTTTCTGGGCACCTCTGCATCGTTCCTTTTGACACTAACACTCATGTTGAGTCAGGATCTTCGGTAGTATCAACCGCCAGTCCTGCCACTGGCTTTCAGTTCCTCACTGTAAAAATAAACGTCATATCCTCAGCCATTGGATACTAATTCTCTTCGTGGCATACATCCTTACTTTCAAAAACCTCTTTGGGATCTCATCATTCTTCATTCTAGCAACATTCCGTGCTCAACGAAGCCTTCCGAACTTTATAAAGATTTATATTATTATACAGCGTTGTTATTTATCATTTATTTGTTCTCTTTCGCCAAGCATTACCGCTGTAAACTATCCTAAAGGATCTTCTTCTCGAATCTTAGGAGCATTAGTTCTTGAATTTGAGAAATCGTCAAACATTAGTCCAGTCAATGAATGATTATAGAAGGAAAAAGCGGGGACATAATTTTTGACTTTGTGACATTGTTTGGACTATTAAGGAGGTAAACATACTAAATGTTCTCACTCATAGGTGGTGAGCCAGATGTGAGGGGAGAGGGCGCGTTGAAGGTAACTTTTTTCGGGTTTTCGCTGATATCAGAAAAACTATCCATCGCATCGATAAAGACCTTCTATACAAAATTAAAGCTTTAAAAATTTTCAATATGATTTAATATATACTTTTTTCGCTACCTCGCTTAGTTTCCGAGATATTCGTCCACCATTATCGCTAATTTTGAAAAAAAAAATTCCTCGTGGTTTTTTTACTGTATTTGACAAGCTAACTCCTGATTGGTTTTTCTACGATTAAGTCGTGAGAAAGAAAGTTTTTAATATTTAAATTAGTTTATCTCTTGCAGTTCAAAAGTTAAATCAATTATAACTCTCTAACATATAAATCTCTCTCAACATATACATATACATACATACAATAACGTTTATTATAAAAATTATTTTTTCCGCTAATTCTCGGAATCTTCATATAAAGTTATAACTGATCTAACTTTTGAACCGTTGAACATAAACTAGTAAATTAATATATATTCTTGCAGAAAATTTAATTATTAAAAACATTCTTCGGTATGTCTTATTCGTAAAACGAAGCAATCAAGAGTTAGCTAATTAAATACAGTAAAAAAAAGACGGAAAATAATTTTTTTTCTCAATAGTGGTAGTTGAGGACGGATATCTCAGAAACTAAGCGAAATAGCGAAAAAAGTATAGAATTAATTATATTCCAAATTTTATCAGCTTTAATTTTGTATAGAACGTCTTTGTAGTTGCGATGAATAGTTTTCTTGATATAAGCCAAAACGCGAAAAAAGTGATCTACTAGACTCACCTTTTAAGAGTGGGGACTTTTGGTATGTTTACCTCCTTACTAGTCCATTCAAAGTGCCAAAGTCAAAATTGTGTCCCCGTCATTTCCTGCTTTACCTCCTTTTCAAGCATTTACTGGACTAATGTGTCAAAACATGGCTTATGAAGGTTTTATAAAGTTTCACTTTGTATTGGCTGAGAGACATTTACTTTTGAAGTGTTTTTGGGAATCCTAAATTGAACTTATTTGCGCCCACTAATTTTTCAATCCCTCTATGTATCGAGAACCTATACAATAAATCTACCTAATTATCATTAGATAAATAAATAAATTGGTTACATAAAGGAAATGACCGGTGGAAGAGAGTGTAGAGGAGAGAGGAGATATTCTCTAGACAAAGCGATGCCGGGAGGTGCCAGTATTAATACCTGTGGCGGGAGGGGGTGGCGCCAGACTGTATGGTATGTGCTCCTCTCCGCGACACCTACCGTTCTTTATTTGTACTGTTTGTCTTGTCGCTCAGTCTTCATCTCCTACTCTCTATGAATAAAATGAATTATTCATTATTGTTATACTGTCTTCGGAATAAAAATGGCTTTACGTGTCCTAAAATCATCAGGCATCGTCTGGATCGAACTATGCTAAAGTTTCGCGGTCTAGTTCTGCAGGAAGGTGTTGCGAACTGTGATTGAATCATATAGGTCTAGTTTGTATTTTTTTTCAATGCCTTCTGAATTACGAAATCCAAAAACAAAGTCAAAATCCTCTCGAATTTCATATATATAGCAGACCCGCAAAACTACATAGACGCCTCTTCTATAATTTTTACGGAGTCAAAACAAAAAATAAATAATCATAAAGAATGTTAAAGTGCTGGGAACTTGAGTAAATTAGTCGGAAACAGTGTGGTGTTCTAGAAAATACCAAGTGTTTTATGAAAGTTGAAACTGTGGCAATGGAAATACAGTATATGAACAAATTCATAAACTCAGTGCTGAGCTCATTGATTGTCATCGAAAATCCATCAGGCGAATTTCGAACTCATCGATAGATCCATCAATTGTATTCAACATATTGCTTTATTCACCAATTGAATCATTGATAGCTCAGTGGTTACTTATGTTTTTGGCGTAGATCTATAATTTTTACGGAGTCAAAACAAAAAAATAATTAAAAAACAAGTTTAGCACTGTCTATTTGTTTCGTTATAAGATTTCAAAAACTTTATTTAATTAAAAATGGGAATTTTGGGAGGTCTGACAGGTATACTGACGATAAGATGAATCGTCTTACTATATTATCAGATACGAAATATACAGTGCTAATACATAATAAATTAACATAATATTATGGAAATAATGAAATCCAATTATTATTTACTTGGTCATCATTGAAAGATACTAAAACAAAGGATTAAGTCTCTTACATATCAATAAATTTGAAACAAGTCAATTCCCTACTCATTTGGGATTGGAAAAGATATGATCAAATTAATGTAAAATATCTCACATCAAGAACCTAAAACACGAACCAAATAAAGGTTCTAAGAAATGAAGAAAGCTATAGTTGGCGATGTTAAGAAATGATTCGATGAAATCTATAAATTTAATATATCTATAAAATTAATTTGTTCGGTTGCCAATTTACGAATGAATTCGTATCAAACACGGAAATCTGTTATTTTCAGAAAGTGGAGAAAAACTCAAACTATTTCTGATGATTTTATTTAAGAATGTTCAAGTTAAATCATGAAAATAAATCATTAGATTTGGTTTAAATTTAAGCAATGTTACGAAAATTAGTATTTCTCAGCTTTTTAAAAATGACAGATGTATTTAATATGAGGCCATTCTATGTAGGATAAGAAATATATATTTTTATGTTACATGTATCACCAATCGAGCCTTGAAATTTTACATTTTACTTTTTTTTTAACTGTATGGAATGACTTGCAAGAATGAATTTGAAGCTGAATCAAAGTAGGGGTGATTGTAGATCTCAGGTGGGCTATGGTTTTTAACGATTTATTGTTTTCTGTTTTTAATAATATCTTTCAAATAAATGAATGAAATTTCCCGGTTTCGAATACGGAGAGTCATGCGTACGTCATTTAGTGTAGACATAAGAGATAAGGATGGCTGAAACAGCTGAGAGGAGAATCTCATTGGCACTATCAGGATGAAGGGCCCCAATGTCTTGGACCTGTCGAAAGGATGTGCTTCATCTGGAGGGGAGGGACCAAGAAATGACCCAGAGCCTAATGGATTGGCATGAGGGAAGACTTGTGGTAAGTGCCAAGAACTGGAGTGGAAACAAACAAGATGGATCAGTGTGAGCGGTGATTTTATTTTAAACTTCTGCTGTGAATGTTATTGAGTTTGGAGAATCTGATATCCCGTTTAACGAAAGATATTTAATGTAGAGTCTTGGATGTTCTTGGTAGCTTTGAGAACAGCTTAGAAACTCGGAAGCATTGCAAGTCTCCTCTTTCGTTGGATTGAAGAAGTAACAGTTGATTATAGGCGAATCTGATCAGAATAGTAAGAGTAATGACCAATGGAAGACCCTGGTTAGGTTAAAGTGCTGGGAACTTGAGTAAATTAGTCGGAAACAGTGAAGTACTTTATGAAAGTTGAAGTTGAGGAAATAGAACTACAGTATATGAACAAATTCAGGAACTCAGCGCTGAGCTCATTGATGGGCATCAACAAGGCAACTCTCGATCTCATTGAAAGATCCATAAATGGAATTCAACATATTCCTTTATTCTCCAATTGAATCATTGATAGCTCAGTGGTTACGTGGAATTTGGTGGAAGATGTAACCTCATTATGGTTATTTTCCAATTTATTTTATTTATTTATATTCAGTTCACCTTTCATCTATATATATTTCTGTTTTAAAACTTCCATTCAGTATGTAAACATTTTCTTATTTATTTTTCAATTGTTTTGTAATCTTCGAGAAGGTAAGTATCGGCTTTAACCGTTGAGATTCCGCTGGGATCCAGCAGCTCGTTCTTAAACTCAGCATAAATCACTCTGCGTTGGTATTGGTATCAATAGATTTATAGATTCCTTAGATGGAATTAGCGCTTAGTCGTAATTGTCCCATATTACGATCATAACCAAGTTTTATTCAAGTCCAGTCTTCGTCGAGGTACTGAACAAAATTAAGACAATTCATTATTATATTTGATTCAATTTCTATATTACCTGTGATTAGATGAAGGGTATATAAACAGATGTATTTTAGTATAGTTTACATACTCACACTTGTACATGGGTTCCTCGGACAATGTTCATTAATATATTAAAATCATTCATTACAAGGAAGTCATTCATTGAACCTGTAAGACCAATCTGTTGTATAAGATATATGATTATAAGGCATTATAAGAGACCGTTCAATTCATTGAAGTACAGAAAGTTGAAAAAAAAAAAAAATGCGTATGGCTATATTAGAATGACTTACAACTATAAATAATGAATTACAGAGTATGTAGCAGACTTTTTTTTATATATATATATAAAGTATTAAATGCAAGCATATATTTTATGAATTTGTAATTATGAATCATATTTTGACTGAGATGAATGGTTGTTGAAATTGTTTGAGTTTTAATTTTAAGAATTAACCCATAGTGCTTATAACATTTTGTTTTTTATTTTACCTGATTTCTGTTTTTCTTTTGATTTAAATAATGTTTTTGTTTTTTTGTAAAATGATGTTACTTTTTTATTTTGATTAATCTAATTTTTGGCCAGATGTGGTTTTTATTTTTTTGTTCATAATTGTTATTCTTAAGGGACTTCGACCGAGAATAAAGTTAATTTTCTATTTTAATCTATATTTATGTACACATACATAAACTCTATGAGGAACATTACTTACGTACCGTTCATAATGCAAATCATCAAACCGAACAAGCCCTTATCGAGCAAATAACTATAAATGTACATATTTTTCATTTACAGCGTTGTTATATTTAATTATCCTCATATATTTTCCACGACAACTGGAAACCCGGACAATATCACATGGAATTCTTATCGGGAAATTCCATCTGCTCCTATCGGCAAAGGTCCTCCGACATGGGTTATCTGGAGCAGCATGCCCGTTTAGGAAGGCGGACTCTCCGTTCAGAAGGAGCAGGATAAAAAAAAAAGAAAAAAAGGAAAAAGAGGAGGGTGAAAGAGAGAGAGGAATAAAAAAAGGAGAAGTGGGAAAGAGGGGAGAAACATCTGGGGGACGGCGCCAGTCTGGCCGTTTAGGGAAATATGTGAGCGGACAGGTGGCCAGACTGTAAATTACACTGCCCCGAGATTTCTGTGTCAGAGCCTACACCTGGGCTTGGGATTAGTGGCCACCTTTTTTATCTTTGCTTATATATTGTCTAGCTAGTTAGTACCTCCATCTTTATTTACACCTCATTAACTTATACAACTTTAATTATTTTTCAGTAGGAATCTAACTTCCTAAGTCAACCTTACAATTATTCCTTACATTAACATGACCAGCATTATGAAAAAAATATTATAAATTTTTTATTTTATTGAATTATATAACATCCTGTCCAGGGTTGTTGCGATATCAGGCAAGTCCCGATATTCCTTATCGATATCGATATAGGTTTTTATTATCGATATTAAAGTCATTAAGTGACTTTTCATAACCTTAAATGAATAAGAACTTTGATGAATTTTCTCTTTGAGATATCAAAAAATTGTATGCTTGTTGTAACTAATAGGGCTTAAAAAAAAAATTAAATAAAAAGAGCGTTTTTCAAACAAATATTTGTATTATTATTTCTTTGCTATAAAATACAATTAATACCCAGAGTATAATCTATTGTTATCTACCACCATTAGCCATCTGCAAGCCAATTGCTCGATCCCACGCTGATACCATTCTTTAGGATGGCTGTCATAGCCATTGGACCGCAATTTCAAATTCTGCAAATTTTTTTTCGTTTAAGGAAACGAGCCATGGGTCTAAATAAGTAGTAATCCGACGGTGCGAGGTCTGGACAATATGGTGGATGTGGTAGGAATGTTTCAATAAATTTTCGCAAATTTTTAACCTCTTAGCTGATTGCTGAGAAGTAAGTTCGCGAGGGTCCTATCTACTATTCTTTTTCACCTTTCCCATGGAGAGTAAATGGAGATTAACAGTATCTTTCAACAGACAGCACACTCCCAGGCATGTTCCCGAGTACTTGTAGACCGATTTGACTCAACAGCTTCCTGCAGAACCTCATCAATATCCATCAATGGTCGCCCAGAGCCTATCTTTCTTTCCAACGTCGTATCTCCACTGCTAAATTTTTCAAACCAACGCCGCGCAGTGTGTTGGTCAAGGACACCTTCCTTTTCATATTCAATATTTTTCAAAAGTGACTTCAGTGCCTGTGATTTTTTTTTTCCAGCAATACCTTAAAATTACAAGAACTTCGAAGAACAGTATCATGTTTCTTCTTTGAAAAAATAACAGTTTTTTATTGAGTTTTTTTTCAGAAGTCAAATGGGATTAAACAAGCTTCGATAATGCTCTAATGGGATTATTAAATATTTGTAAGTATTAAAATATTTACAGTCCTTTGAAATCTTGAATTTGATAAAATGGTCTTTTTTTTTTATATACACTATTATAATTGATATATAAAAGGGTTGGTGTAATTGTAGTACTATTGTTATGTTTTTTTATCGATAAACAAGGATAAAATTCACCAAATCGTTCTTAAGAGAACAGCTCCATCATCGATGTACTTGATAAATTTTTGAAATAAGCCAAAGATATTACTGTATCCTAACTCCATTTTATAATATATCGAGATATTTAAGGATTTGTATTTGAATATTTTAAAAATATTTGAACATTCACATTAGATGTTCTTAAATATTAAATTGATTTGGGTTTGTAAAAAATTGAATCCCAAGAAAATATCGAAATCCGATATTTTCAATCTTCTGATGTTTCGATACGATATTGGTCGATATCCAAAGGAATATATTTGATATCGTTATTATCGCAACATACTTTTCGTCACATCGCTATGGTTATGGTGCGAAAATAAATAAAATAAAACAACAGCAAAATAATAACATAATAATAACTAAAAAGTATATGCAATAAATAAAAATAAAATAACAAAATAAATAAAATCTTCTCTATTAAAACAAAGAAAAATCACAATTAGTTGAGGGATCTCCAAGCCAGGTTTGTCACTCCAACTATGGAGTGAAAAGCAGAACTCCAGTTGATCCCTGCGCTACTCTCTCAACCGCGCCACAGTTGCTAAAACCAGCAGAAATTGAGCTAAACTAAAAGAAAAATGGAACTAAATCAATGTTGACTAAGAGAAGAACGCCCACATAGCTCAGACTGGTAGCAGATGTGCTGGCCGAATATAACACATTCCCTACTGGAACCGCGCGATCCTCTTTGTCTTGGCCCTTCCAATGAGTCATTTAGTGAGGGGCTCTTTTCTGTATTTATTTTTTGTTTATTTTAGAATAAATATATGAATAATATATTATATTACAGAATGAGTTTTTTTTTTCCCTCTTTCGTGAAAGGCGAAAAAATCTGATGGATAGACCGAATTAACAAAGATGCAGTGGAGTTGTATGAAGATAAACGAAGTGCAATAGCCCAAGATTGATAGAGACGGGAAAGGCTAATTAAGGCTGCAGTAAATGGTCTATAAGATCTGTAAAGCCAAAAGAAAAAAAACCAAAAAACTTAATCATATAAGCGCACCAGTGATAGACATACCTAAGCAAATTTTTTTTTTTTTTACTTATGCCGCCGTAATTATTATGGTTGTAAACTTCTCCGTTGGACATTTAGAATCCCTAGAGTCTCCTTTTTCTATTTAACACTTTAAATTTGAAAAAAATATTCAATTACGCATGTATAGTGTATAATCTCCATAAAAAAATATCTTTTTGAACTAGTAATGGACACTGAAATTGTTCTAGTGATGGACAGGGGGTCGGTACCAGTAATAGACATAACGCAGAAAAAAAGAGCTCTATAGAAACAACATTGATAAGCATTTCAAAATTTTCTTTTGGGAACTTTGTTCATACAATTGTCAGGATATTGTTCTTCATTAAAAAAAAAAATTAGAACCTTCTAATCAACATGGAAGCCTATTATTTACATTTCCAAACCAAGTCCATCACTGAGCCTGTTGCGTTCACTCTATATCTATTAAATGTAGAATTCCAAAACCAGACAACTCCAAAGGTTTCTTTAAAAAATAACAAATGTTTAAGAATTCTACGACTCATTTATACATAGAATGTTCCAATATGTATGTATAAACATGTATGGATGAAATAACACTTTTCTATAATTTGTGATATAATGTTATAACAGTTTATGATAAGTTTTACAATAGCATCCTGCTTTTTCATCGCTTACTAAATAAGAGCTATTATAAGTCTCCAATTATTAAAAAAAGTCTCAATATACCTATCTATAAATAGAATATAGTTAATACAATACACAACTCTTAAAAAAAACCTTCAATGATCCTTTCTTTATTGCTAATATAAGCATCAATAATCACCTGAATGTTCCGTATATTGCTGACTTGGCCCTGTCCACAGACACCCATCTTACCATAATAAACTTCACGCCCATACAAGTCCTCTACTTCCTATTCTTGCTTTGATTCCTGATAATTCTTCTAGGTGTCTAAAATCTAAAGTCCTCCAAATAATTCTGTTCTTCTTTTAATTGTCTGAAAAATAAGAAATTATGCGTGTTCTGTTGCACTGGATAGAGTTGGGACAACAATGGATGATTGTTGTTATTGAATGCAGAACAAAAAAATATATATTTCATATTATTAATCTCGTCTTGCTGATGTGTTCACTTCTATCGAGTGGTCTAAAGCACAGACGGCAGTTTTAAAAAATATTTATTTATCGATTAATACAACATTCTGTAACTTGGACAATAATTATAGTGAGGTAAGAATACATTCACGCTATATATACAGTATGAAATAAATAGAAGCAAAATAACAACTAAATATATATATTTTTTTTAAAACTTTTATTGAGTATTAATACAGTCTGCCACACTGAAGGGCATTGGTACTTTAGTATTCATTCACACAATATGTACATACGAAAGGGGGAAAAAAAAGTATATATTTATATATAAATAAAAAGATAAAGTAATATACAAGATAATTAAAACAACAGACCAGCCGAGTAATAACAAAACAAATAAAACACATTCACACCTATGTACAATATTTACATTGGCCCAGGGGACTCCGAATCAAGCTTTGTCCCCCGATGTGGAAGCCAAGGCAGGACTCAAGAAGATCCCAGTGCTTCTCTCCCAGCCGCGTCACTGGTGACTAAATATTAATCGAAAAGTATATACAATAAATAAAAATAAAATAATTTAAAGATAAGTAAATTAAAAAAAAAAAATACAGACAGACACCTATGTTCACTATTCACATTCAGGCAAGGGGACTCCAAGCTAAGTTTGTCTCGCTAAGTAGAAGGAAAAGCAGAACTTACAGAAGATCCCTTTGCTTCCCTCTCAACCGTTTCACTGGTGCTAAAGCCAGTGGAGATTGACCGGAGTGGTTTGGTCATGACATAATAATATAGTATTTCACGTTTACTTGTTTTATTTCATTACTAGTAGGCCCGTGCGAAAAATTCGCACAGCATATTGTTATCAAACGCCAAATTAATAAGAAAATAAAATAATGCAACGTATCAAAAGATAAAGAAATCAATTGCTATTTTATCCATAAATATAATAAACAAAGGAAACAAAATTAATTTAAATATTCATTTTTGTTTGGAACCAACATATTTACAAATTTCAATAAGCTGCGAAAAATTGTCCGAGTTCAATGATTTTTTTTTTCCTTTTGTAGACAATTAAGTAATGCTTTAAATAATCATAGGAATAACCAAGGGAAAAGTGTGTAATTTTTTAGTTATTCGCAAATAAAGTTTCTTTTTTTTCATTACTTGTTTGCCTGAATTTTCGGGGTGATTGGAATATTTTTTCCGCCTGAAGGAGAAGGAAGCATTCGAAATTGGTGGCCCAATCTTGAGATTTGGTGAAAAATTAACGATGATATGGCTTACCGATCAAAAACACCATCGATAAATAATATAAACTCCTCCTGTCTCGATCATAGAGACCTCAACTCGACGAAATGAGACATGTATCCAATGACAGTACTACAATTAACGTCAAGTTGTGTGGATGCGAACCCCATGCCTTGCGTTATCTCGAAAATGGTACGTTTTTGGGCTT